CGTTAGTAATGGGGTTTTGCGATTTTTTGTGTAAATATCGAGGTCCACCTATAAATGATGAAGGTAGTATAAACAACTGCCCAATGCCGTTACGGTGTTCATAAGCCTGTAAAGCATCCTGAAGACGAACGTAATTTTCGGCTCTCAATTTAGTTTGATTATTACGAATGTAGACCAATCTTTCGGATTAAATTTTTGCATATTGATCTACCAAGTATTGGTTTGTTAACATTCCATATCTAAGAAAAGTGTTGAAATTGTTACGTCTTGTCATTATACGGTAGCAATATTAGTTCGTACATGACACTGTTTTAGGCAGAGGTGTACCACCGATTGGGTCAACTTGAAAAATAATCGTCTGTGTTCTCCAACAGAAACTTTGTTTGCATGGATTACGACATTAAAGTCAGGAGTATCTGCTGGAAAATTCTCAACTGCAGTTTCGAAAGACTGTATGTAGCAATTATGAGAATATAACATTATCTTGGAGAGATCTATTCATATCTCTATCTCTCTCTATTGGCTGTGCAACACTTGAACACCGCGTAGAGGCTTGTGTATCTGGCTCTGCAATAAAGTATATTTGCAGAAACTTGTGCTCATCGGCTCGAAAGGGTAGCAAGCTCCTAGCTAAGTGGTACACTTCCCCCTGGGTTTTAAATATAGACATAAACATATGCTCAACGACTTAGGCTTCCTCTAAATGTGTTGTTATAACGGCACATATTGCGCATGAATTGTTTGGATTTCTGATGATCACCCGTAAGAAGAGAGTAAAATCTCGTCCTTGAATTTCAATGCCAAGCAATGTTCACACACTACTGACATATCACCTATTGATACTATACGATCGTCCTTGTAAGAAATCGAAGGATCCTAATTCACTGCAGAATTTTCTTTATTTTCCCATGAATTAGCTCGTGCTGATGATTCTGTAATTTTCTCTTCCTCTCTCAGCACTATATATTATACATCCCGTAGCTGACTGAGGCGACTCTCATGTTCCGTTGACGATTCTTCATCTCATGCTGAACGCACTATTTGGCATTTACTGTACTACGACCTATGCTCGAACGACCACCTGATTACCTATGCACAAATTGTCATATTATAAGTATGTGCCGCAATAAAAAATATCTAAATACTTATCTTTTAGAAATCATATATTATAAAAAAACAAAAGATACTTATTCTATTCTATCCAGTGCGATTAAACTTTAAATAACTTTAGAATAGAATATCATTTATATTTTAAAACTACTATCATCATCATTGTCGCGCTGAAAAACTCGATTTTATTAAGTTTTGTTATTTTCCTCGCTAGAGAGCTCCGATAATAAACGAGTCCGATCGCTGCTAAATTCAAAGTGCTACAAGAAAAACCGCGGCTTCTAGGGACAGAGAAAGCGACTTTGTTATACCCTAAACAGGATATATTAAGTTTGCCTTGAAGTTTGTAACACCCAGAAGGAAATGTCGGAGGCCCTATAAAATATATACATGAATGATCAGTATGATGAGCTGAGTTGATTTAGCCATGTCCGTCTGTCTGTCTGTCCGTCCGTCTGTATATATTCGAACTAGTCCCTCAGTTTTTACGCTATTGATCTAAAACTGCACCTGTCCTTTTCTCACTGCTCATTTGTCGGAACGGCCGATATCGGACCACTATAGCATATAGCTGCCATACAAACTGAACACTCGGAATTAAGTACTTGTATGGGATTTTTTTTTATTTGACGAGGTGTCTTCACGAAATTTGGAATGGATTATAATTTAAGGCAACCATGTAATCTCCGAAGAAATTGTATAGATCGGATCACTATAGTATATAGCTGCCATACAAGCTGAACGATCGGAATCAAGTGCTTGCTTGGTAAACTTTTTCATTTGACAAGATATGTTTACCAACTTTGGCTTGGGTTATTGTCTAAGGTAATAATGAGATTTCCGCAAAAATTGTGACACTATAGTATATACTTGTAGTTAACCATACAAACTGACCGATCTAAATAAATTTTTGTATGAAGGTAAGTAGAAAATAATGTTAAGATTATATACATAAGAGCAATGAACAAAAATATTATTTAGTTACTCCTTAAAATAAATAAATCCGTAATTTTTCAAGATATTCTCTTATTCATTAATAATATTAGGTAAAGTAAAAAGTTCGTTCGGTTTTTTATTGATTTTTCAAAAGATGATAACTTTGTGTACATTTGTCCGATTGAAGTCAAATATGCGCCGTTTTGTTCGTAAACTTGTTGCCAACCTCATTATACCCCTCACGTAGAAGGCTGCGTCCCTATTGGCATAAAACTCGGAGAGCTAATTTTCACAGGCCTCTCTTGACGCCAACTTCTCACCATTAAGCGCGTTCGCCATGGACAGGAAAATATGGTAATCACTTGGTGCCAAGTCCGGACTATAAGGTGAGTGCATTAGGACCTCCCATCCGAGCTCCCGGAGCTTCTGGCGCATCACCAAAGACGTGTGTGGCCTGGCATTGTTCTGATGGAACACAATTCGGCCGCTGTTGATCATAGATGGCCCCTTCTGGATGAGTGCTGCCTTCAAGCGGTCTAGTTGTTGGCAGTAGAGGGCTCAATTGAGCGTTTGGCCATAGGGGAGCAGCTCGTAGTAAATTATTTCTTGCGAATCCCACCAAATACGCAGCAAAACCTTCCTGGCCGTCAATCCGGTCTTGGCCACCGTCTGGGCCGCTTCCCCGAGCTTTGACCACGACCGTTTGCGCTCGATATTGTCGTACGTGACCCATTTTTCATCGCCAGTCACAATCTGCTTCAGAAACGGGTCGATTTTGTTGCGATTCAGCAGCGATTCGCAGATGGAAATTCGGTCCATCATGTTTTTTGCGTTAGTTCGTGTGGCACCCAAAGATCGTGCTTCGTGTTAAATCCACGGTTATGCAAATGGTTCCAAACGGTTTTTTGGCTTATCTTTATTTCCTCAGCAATTAAATAAGGGCTCACGGTCTGTTTCCACTACTGTTACCATGATTTTATCGCAATTTTCGACGACAGGGCTCCCGACGCGTGGTGCATCTTTGACATCGAAATTACCGGAACGGAACCTAGCAAACCACTTTTGTGCTACACGTTCGCTTACAGCATTGGGCCCATAAACTAAATTAATTTTTCCAGCCGCTTTGGCTGCTTTTTCGCCTTGATCGAAGAAAAATTGTAAAATATAGCGAATTTTCTCTTTGCTGGTGTCCATCTTTGACGAGCGCTCACAACGTACTGAGTCAATCAATCGAAAAACTGTCAAGGACAAACTTTTAGCGCGAATAAACACATTTTCAGCGCCGTGTAGAATGACATGATGCGACACGTAACACTAGTACTATGGACAATAACGCCATCTCTTAAATAAAAACCGAACGAACTTTTTAGTTTACCTAATAATAGAGAACTAACTATGTAAACATAATTATCCCCTTTTAAAACCCTAATTAACTGCTGGGTAGGTACAAAACAAAACATAGGTAGAAGAAAAATAGGTAGGAAATAAACATAGTTCCAAGAACAGGTAGAAAGTATAACCTAGGTAAAAAAGAGGTTTTGCACCTTTTGTAATTAACGCCTTAATATTGCTTCGAAAGTTGCTTGATGACACCAAAAAGGGCAAAAGAGTTAACAGACGTGAAGTCGGGCTCATCGGATTTTTTCAGTTTACGCGAGCAGTTTAAACTTTCAACAACGCAAACAACTTTCAAAATCAACGAAAAAAAATCCTTTTTTTAAATAAAACGCATTCTTTTAATTATATTATTATTACTTAATTTATTAATATTTTAGTATATTTTTTTAATAAAAAATGTCAAGAGTATCTAGGCAATCGCAGGAACAAAGACGTGGCAATGCAGTGAATAACAGACGAATGAATTCTGAATATAGAACAGCGGAGCAGGAGCGTGACACAGTAGGACATTCGAACAGGCGCTTGACTCCGGAATATAGAGCTGAAGAGCAGGAGCGAGACACAGTAGGGCATTCAAACAGACGAATGAATCCTGAATATAGGATAGCAGAGCAGGAGCGCGACACAATGGAACATTCTGTGCGGCGCCAGAATCCAATAATAAGAAAAGAAGAAAGGCAACGAGATGCAGCACTGAGGAGGAGTCGTCGAGAAGATCCAATAAGTAGACGTCGTTTTAAATTCTTCTCAAAAAAGAGTGACCCGCCAGCAAATCAGGCAACAACTTGCAAACGGGCAGGAATCAAACAATTGGATAGATAGGATTCCGCAAATCGTCAGTTCGAAACCGAAAGGCAAATCAGGAGGAATATGGGAAGACGTCTTGAACTTTCTCATGATGCACAGCTAGAAGAACAAGAACGTCAACGTCGAGCTGCCAATATCTTTGACATGGACCCACAAAAATATGCGTGTGTTGCGGTGGCTCTTGGTTCCCTCACCAAGTGAAAAAACTAGAAAAGCATCAGACTTCAACAAAATTTACGCGCTCAGGATTAGAGTTTCCGGATATTCCGGAATGCCTTCAGGATTTAACGTGTCTGGAGGAAAGAATGATATCACCGAGGATCCCATTTATGCGCATCATCTCCCTAGGATATGAACGACAATGTGCTATTCGTGGAGCAGTGGTGAATATTTCGATTTCTGTTGTTGAGACAGTCACCATGCTGCCACGAAGATTTGACAACAGCCATATTATTCAAGTGCACTTGAAACGTCAATTGAAGTATGAGCAAAATTTTATGACGGAGACAGTACGACCAGCAAATATATTGGAGGCACTAAACTATCTACTGGGTACAGAGCTCTACGTCGAGCATAATATACAAATACGAGGAAACTGTGCCATTTATTGATCCTGCAGATCACGCAGAAGTAAGAGACCTGCTGAATGCCCGCCAGGAAAATGTACCGCTTGAAATGGAATAAGAATTAAATTCAGGTGGTTAGGAGACTTTAAGGGACAACCTGTTGAAAATAGATCCATTGAACGGATGGCACCAGGACAAGGTAGATGCCCCAGGGACGTTACAACCAACGACGATGCTCAGGAGTTGTCGTATCCAACGATCTACTGCGGAGAGAAGAGGACATCCACAACAACTTACAGTAAAATTGCACGTTCTGAAATTCGACGCTATGATCGGCGTTGTGTGCGCTTGGACGTGCTCCTGTTCATATTGAAGAAACTGATAGATAAAAAAAATATTTCGGAAGGGAAGCTACTGCTCTATCAAGCTCTGAAAGGGCGAGGCTGATAAAGACAGTTACACATTCCAGGTGTTTCGACAATCGATTCCGCCAAATGCTAAAATTATTACAAAACGCACTGTTTGAAGAGCATTTAGTAGTCCGTTACTATTACAGAATTGAATTCCAGCATAGGGGATCACCACATTGTCATGGCATGTATTGGCTAAGTGACACACCACAATTGGAAAGTGATGGAATCATCCACACATATGAAGTTGAAACATTCATCGACCGACACATCACAACCGATATGGATGATTTGGACTTACTGGAATTCATTCAGTATCAAAAACACAGACATGGTCGAGAGACCTACATGGAAAGCAAGTGTGCCGATTCAACATGCCATATCCGCCGATGCCACAGACAGAAATACTTTTCCCGTTGGAGAATGAGGAAGGTATTGAGCAACACAAAGTTCAATTGCAAAAAATACAGGAACTATTAACTCTAATGGATCTCCCAGAGGAAGAAATAACGCGGTTGAACTGCTTCGAAAATTTTTTGGCGGATGACCGAATCAACACGGATTATGAAGGATACAAGCTTGCTCTCCGCTCATCTTAAAAAAAGTACGATAGCTACACTTCCAGTGGCATTAAAGGATGGATCAGGATTTTTAAGGAAAAGGAACCAAGCCCTTATTCTTCGCTGGAAACGTTTTAACGTTGAAAGTTCAAGAGCCGATTTCTTCAGAGAAACCGCCATGATGTTTCACCCATGGAGAAATGAGGAAACAGACCTATTGAATAATGACGTCGAGAGTGTTTGAAATACACACAAGGAGCAAATTGAGCAGAATAAGCTTAAATATGTCAAATTGTCATCGAACGGAAAACCTTTATGTTACAGCGGAACAAACAGCTGATGATCGAGCTGCCTTACAACTTTTAGATCCTGAATTCAGAGTTCCAGAGCAAACAGGAGACATTAATGTTTTCCAAGAGCACAACAATACAGAGGAAGAGGCGGTTCGATTAATTATTGCATGACATTTTAAACACTATTCATGCCAATCTCATATATATTAGGCTTATTATAATTGACGAAATTTCAATGGTAGGAGCAAAGATGTTTGCATATTTAGATTCTAGGCCAAAGCAAATTTTCAGGAGCAGCGCTTATTTTGGAGGCATACCAATAATCGTGTTTGGTGACTTAAAGCAGCTGCCGCCAGTAGGAGATCGATGGATATTTGCACCTAATAGGAATGATCCTTACACTACAATTACAGGAACACCGCTTTGGGATCAATTTCGGTACTTTGAGCTCACTGAAACAATGCGCCAGCGTGAAGATCAAGCATTTGCCATCGCTTTAATTAACATGGCAGAGGGAAATATGACACACGCTGACATCCAATTAATCAAAAGCAGGGAAAAGACCGCTAATGAGATACCGAACGAAGCCATCCATCTATTTTATTCAAATGCTGGAGCAAATGATTTAAATTTAACTAAACTGGCAAACACGATGACCGAGGAGTTCATTTCGACTGCGAAGGATACAATTAAGTCAAGTTCCCTAACAGAACGCAGCAGGGAAAACATTTTAGAAGCTGTGAAGTCTATTAAGCCATCGGAAACGCAAGGAATGCTTTATACATTGCAGCTCAAGACTTCAATCAAATATATGGTGACAGTCAACATAAGCGTAAGTGATGGTCTCGTCAATGGTGCTACGGGGGAATTAATGCAGATTGATTCCGAATCATATGGATCTGAAAGTTCAGTGGTGCGACTATGCAGACAAGTAGACTCACAGTCGTAATGCAGATCGGACACCAATCATGAGCGTGGTCCGATCATTCCAATACAAGCGAAATGAGCAAATAACCATAGAACGTAGACAGTTCCCCGTCATTCCAGCTGAAGCCATCACGATACATAAAAGTCAAGGTGGAACATACACACAAGTTGCTGTTCATCTAGAGGGAAGAGTAAACAGATCAGCATTATATCTAGGATGTAGCAGAGCCACAAGTGCCAATGGATTATATATAAACGGGACATTTTCTCCCCCGAAACCATTTGGACCGCAGGATCCAATTAAAACTCAACTTAATAGGTTGCAGACAGGAGCATTGACGACATGCTACAGATTTTTGGCTGACAAATTGGAACAACGCCTGTATATTTATTATCAAAATGTATGGAGCCTAAACAAGCATATTGAAGATATCAGATCAGACAAGCTGATTTGTTCTGCTGATATTCTGTGCTTTGCTGAAACCTGGGCCTTACCTCAAGAAGAATTCCCAATAGAAAGCAACAATGTTATTGCTCGCCTTGATGGAGAAACAAGGTCATCCCGACGACGCCCTGCCAACGGCTTATAATATACTACAAGCAAGATAGGTGCCCAGGTCTATCAGAAGAATCATTTTCAAGGAACGACACCGGTTCAACAAACGATTACCAACTGTTAAACGTAAACAATTCAACAGTTTCCATATCACTTGTGTACAGGAACCCCCGCTATAGACTTCCGGAATTTAGAAACCAAGTAGAAAATAGTATCCGTCAGATAACTGAACAGTGTAATGGACCGTCAGTAGTCCTTGGTGACTTTAACATATGTCGCCTAACAGCAACTGACGATTTGGAGGCTCGATAGCAACATTTAGGATTTCAATCTTCATTGGCTAAGGTCGCCACAACAAAACAGGAAACAGCAATAGATTGGGTATGGACAAACATGGATCTTGCAGTGACCTCATGTATCACATATGAAACACCATATAGTGATCATGACGCAATATTTTTAAGCTTTAGAAAATAGTTATATTATATATACAGATATATGTTATATTCAATATTATTAAATATAAGTTTGTATTATAATATAAAGTGTAAGTCATAGATGTCATTATTGTAACTTACATATTATATATACAAAAATTATTATAGAATAATAAATATTAGTATATGTTATATATTTTCTAAGGTTGGCAAAAATCCTCCGCTGAACCCTCCACGAGGGTGCCGACTGGAAATAGATACCACAGGTTCACGTCGTTAGTAGTGAGGTGTCTAGCTAAGGTCAGGCTTCCTTTCTGGGTGTTCGGTACTCTTCGATAGTGCAGCATCCAGATAGGAGGTCTTACCATGGTAGGAGGTAAAGGGATCAAGGTGTCATGCGACCCGTGCCGAAGATCAACCTGGCTGGGGGCCCTTAAATAGCCCAGTCTCGCACGGAGCTTACGGATATATGGCGCCCTCCGTAATAAGATAGCCTTACTTGCGTAGCGGGGGCTATGCGCAAGCGGACATACTTTCCCCTACACTCGTGGGTCCAAAATATGAGCCAAAACATTAACATTATAAATAAAAACAAAAAGGAGTCCCGACCTCCTTCAAAAAGACCGGAGGGAGCGGGTTGCTCCCAGAGAAGAGCAGCGTTTGGCACGAGCTCGACAACAGCCAAAGCGAGGACAGGAGCGAAGCTTGGTCCTGGAGCAAAGGCAAATACTAAGGGCGCAGTAGCCAAGGCTGGCGCCACAAAAACAGCAACGCTGGAGGCAGCCCATACCAACCTGTGTAGCCAAGGCTTGGCAGCTAAGCAGGAGAAGGTGGGAGATGCTAAAAGCGAAGCTGCCAGTAGTGGGTCAGCCAGAGAGTGGCCTTCCTTCAGGATTGATGACCCGGCAAAAGCAAAGTATGCAGAGAGGCGACGCGCTGCATACCTGTTGAAGAAGGTGGAGCTGCAACCGCCAAGCAATGAGGAGCTCACAAAGGAGCTCCGAGAATCCATTGATTGCGCGAGAGCTGTCCTACCTAACTTCAAGCTAGAAGCGCCGGTAGTGGCAACAAAAAGACAAAGGTCCGCTGAAGAGGCTAAGCCGTCAGCTAAGAGACCGAAAACTAAGGGCGTGACGCCCGTAAGATCTTTTGCTGATGTGGCCCGAAACCGCATTGTCATTGGTGTACTGGGTGAGGGTGATCCCGAAGGAAAAATCCCCAGAGCCCAATGGAAATGGGTGCAAGCCGCACTGAGGAATGTGGCTTTGGAAGTGCTACTTAGCAATCCAGGTCCACCCCCGTCATGTGCGGATGCCGGATGGTATCAAGGGCAAATAAAGATGATAGCGTGTGACGACGAGGGATCGGTCCAGCTATATAAAGCAGCAATAGCTAAGGTGGGAGAGGTCTACCCCGGTGCCAAATTGGTGGCGGTAGACAGGAAAGATATCCCATCCCGACCGAGAGCAAGGGTATGGATCCCGGCTACACCATCGCAGCCGGACCAAATAATGCAGCTCATAAGAGCCTGCAACCCAAATCTGCCAACGGAGGGATGGAGATTCGTCAAGGCCTTTGACGACCCCGCAGCAGAATCTGGAGTGGAGACGAAGCGAGCCACAATGCAGATTCTGCTGCTTCTAACAAAAGAATCCGTAGAACCGCTAGCGAAAAGTGGCGGAGAGATCAACTACGGATTCACAAAAGTAAAGGTCATGACCTACAAATCAGACGCCGATGCAGGAGAAAACTTGGTATCGGAATCGGAGTGCGAAGTCGAGGAAGATCCAGTGGAGTCCTCGAGCGACGCAGAGATCACGGATCAAGGTGAGTGTACTTCGGGGTCTGAACTTGCGGACAGACTCTCAAAACTCTACACTGAGAGTGAGCTTTTAAGCGACTCTCATGATGATGCAGAGAAGACCATAACTAATGCATCTTCTCCAAATTAATTTACACCACAGCAAACTAGCGTCTCTAGCCCTAGTTAACCGCATGGCAGAAGAACGGCCTGACTTTGTCCTCATTCAGGAGCCATGGGTTAACGGAGGGCGTATTTGCGGTCTGAGGACACCAGGTTACAATCTATACGCGAATGGTTGTGTAGGTAAGCCTAGGACATGTATATTGGCTAACAAAAAGCTTAATGTCTTTTTATTACACAATTACAGTAGTAACGACACTACGGTGGTAAGCTGGGAGACGAGCAAGAGGAAATACCGGCTCGCATCATGCTACATGCCGTACGACGAGGTAGCAGTACCATCGCAGCTGTTCAAGGAGCTGGTACGAGACGCCGAAGCATCCAAGTGTTCGATCATACTTGGATGCGACTCCAATGCGCACCATAATCTATGGGGAAGCACGGACATTAATGAAAGGGGTGAGTTGCTCTTTAATTATCTAATAGGAAGTAAGCTTCTGTTATGTAACAAAGGTAGTACGCCAACATTTATAACCAGAAACCGACAGGAAGTATTAGATATAACACTGGTATCGGAAGAACTGGTGGATAAAATAACACATTGGAGGGTATTGAAAGAACACTCCTTCTCAGACCACCGCTACATTGAGTGTATAATTGAAGAAAATGTAGTTAGGGAAGAGAAATTCAGGAATCATAGGAAAACGAACTGGCAGATGCACATGCAGGAGCTAAAAAAGCGTATTCCTATGATTCCACCATTCCAACCGGAAAAAAAAGAGGACCTAGACATCCTTGTTAAACGATTCACAGAGTCTTGTCGTCAAGCACTAGAGGTAGCTTGTCCATTAACGCACAGTAGGGGAAGAATTAGACATCCTTGGTGGACCCCAATACTTAAGAACATGCAGAAGAATTGCAGAAGGCAATTCAATTCTGCCAAACTATCCCAAGAAGATATAGAGTGGGATAACTATCACAACCACCTTCGGGCATACAAAAAGGAGGTAAGAAAAGCAAAAAGAAATTCGTGGAAATCTTTTCGTAGCGACATCGAAGATACAGCAGAAGTGTCCCGACTGAGAAAGATAATGACACAGTCGAAACACAGAATCGGATACCTTCAGAAGCCAGATCACAGCTGGACGGAATCCAGTAAAGAGACTCTGGGCCTACTAATGGACACTCACTTCCCAGACAGTTCCGAGAACCTCACAGGGGGGCATATAATGGGGAGTGAAGTAAGCTCAGAGACCCCTCCGCTAGACATAGTGTCAGATGACAATGTTTATTGGGCAATAGGCAGCTTCAAGCCTTATAAAACGCCGGGACCAGACGGTCTATTCCCGGCCCAGTTACAGCAATCCCTGAGCTACACAATAAACTGGATAACAACCATGTTTAGAGGGGCGCTGAAATTGAACTATATTCCCTCGACATGGAGGGAAGTTAAGGTGATATATATCCCAAAGGCGGGCAAAAGCTCACATATTAATCCAAAGGATTTTAGACCAATTAGTCTTTCATCATTTCTTTTAAAAACGCTGGAAAGACTAATAGAAATACATATAAAGGACATACTAAACCCAAGAAAATTGGCAGTTTCGCAGCATGCGTACTTGAAGGGTAGATCCACAGAAACGGCATTAAGCTCAGTGGTAGCAGAGATTGAAAAATCTCTGGAAGTAAAAGAATACACCCTCGTAGCCTTCCTAGACATAGAAGGTGCCTTTAACAACATCCAGCCGAAGGCCATATTGAGCGCGCTTAAAGATCTGGGCATATCTGAGCCTCTCCGGAAATTAATTGAACAGATGCTCTTGGGCAGGTCAATTATTTCAACGCTGGGAGCTTCAACGATGTACAGATCTGTCCGAAGGGGTACACCCCAAGCAGGCGTGTTATCCCCACTTCTCTGGGTCCTGACAATGAATAAAATGCTTGTGGACCTAGAAAAGAAGGGGGTACATGTTGTGGCCTACGCTGATGATGTGGCAGTCTCGGTTAGGGGCAAGTTCCCGAACACCCTCGCTAGTCTCATGCAGACAATACTAAACGAGATTAATCGATGGGCAGTATCATGCGGACTGAATTTAAATGCTAGAAAGACAGAACTAGTATTGTTTACTAAGAAACACAGTACTCCCGAAATCACGCCGCCATTTTTAAATGGCACCAGGCTAACGATAGGGGATAAAGCAAGCTACTTGGGACTAATTTTGGACAGGAAGCTTTCTTGGAAACAAAACCTGGAAGCGAGGGTAAAGAAAGCTGCTACAGCGCTTTACACATGTAAAAGAATGGTGGGGCCCAGGTGGGGACTGACACCTCGGGTGGCTCACTGGCTGTACACAGCAATTGTAAGGCCGATCATGACCTACGGGATAGTAGTATGGTGGCCAATTACAGAAAAGAAATATGCGATTAGAAGCATGGAAAGTATACAAAGAGCAGCTAGTATTTGCATCAGTGGAGCTCTCAGAACTACGCCAAGCCAGGCACTCAACATAATTTTACACTTGCTGCCAACAGACTTATATTGCAAGCAAATGGCAGCGAAGTCAGCTCTAAGACTGAGGGAAGCCTCCCTATTAGTCGCCTGTAACAAGGGACATTCTAGGACACTTAGGAAGTTCCCGGTTCTTCCCATAACTACGGATTTTCGCAATCCGGTGGAGCTGAACCTAAATCCGGTCCTCAATATTACCTTTCCCTCCAGAGAGGAGTGGGAACGGGATGTAGTGGACAAGGAAGAAGGGATTAGCTTCTATACGGATGGTTCCAAACTGGATAACCGAGTAGGCGGCGGTGTTTTCTCGGCTAAATTAGATACCAAAATCGCCTTCCGGTTACCAGACCACTGTAGTGTCTTCCAAGCAGAGGTCACTGCAATTAAAGAAAGTCTTCTTGTACTAACAAAAAGCGTAATAACAACAAGAAGTGTATTTATATATACAGACAGCCAAGCGGCTTTGAAATCTCTGATGTCTCATAGGATTTCGTCGAAGACAGTAAAGGATTGCCATGATTTTCTAGCGGATCTGTCATCCTATTTCACTATAAATCTGCAATGGGTTCCAGGACACAGTGACATCCCTGGTAACTGCGTAGCAGGTGAACTAGCCAGAGCAGGCACCACCCTAAAACTAGATCCTGGTAAGGTGGACATAAATATGCCTCTGGCTACGTGTAGATATCTAATCGACAAACATGTCATTAATATAGCCGAGTGTCAGTGGAATCAATCCCTGACCTGCTCAACCAGCAGGCAAACGTGGCAAGAATGGAATATGAGCCGCACATGCCGACTGTTAAAATTCAAGAGGAATGATATAAGAACTCTCGTAGGAGTACTAACAGGCCACTGTCTAATAGGCAGACATGCAAGTAGACTTGGCGCGCCATATAACGACTACTGCAGAAGCTGTCAGGAAGTAGAAGAGGAGGAGACCATTAGACATCTTCTATGCGATTGCGCAGCACTATATAGGAAAATAATCGCAACCATGGGTCGTGGGTTTCTTGACGACGTCTCGGAGGTTGCACAGATAAAACTTGTCACACTGATGAAGTTCATCAGAAGTACGGGGTGGTTCAGAGAGGAACCAGTAGAGTGAGGGGATCACAGTCCCAGTGGTATCACAATGGGCCTCCTAAAGGCCTAAGTGTGTCGAATGACAGCCACTTTACCTACCTACCTACCTATATATTTTCTATTTTCTATAAATATATTAAAATTTATGTAAATGTCTGAAAGGTCTATTTACCTGATTTTCTAGCATTAATTCGAATAGAAGATTCTTTATATTAAACAACCTGGTTAAAAAAAATGTTTTCAGTTGGATGCATACCGTTGGCCGGTTACGTTTTCAAATGTAGTCATACATATAGTAGTTACAAAACGAAATGCACCTGTGAAGGGTATTATAGCTTCGGCGCAGCCGAAATTAACGTTTTTTCTTGTTTTACACTATGTATTGATAGGAGCATATGTGCGACCGCTTGGTCTATTCAGATATTATCAAAACTTTCAATGACCCAAGCAAAAAAATATATTATATTATATATAAAACATTTATAAATTACATATTAAGGCAATAATACAATCCTCACTTTATTATATATTTCAAGAGATTTTATGGAGTTCATCATGAAATAGATAAATTTGAACATAGATATTTACTGTACACTTACGTCCTGTGATACCAAATATATACAGATTATCTATAAATTATATGCAGAGTCGTTAGCGCATTGTAAATAAACGAATCTGTAACAGTGAAAATGCTCAATTCTGCTTTTTTGTAGTTTTAGTTTAGTTAAAATATTGGTCACCATTATAAACTGTGAAACTCATGATGAAGATGGAAATGATAATAGAATGATTGAAAATAATTGAAAAACGGATCGAAATGACTCAACGATTGTAAAATATTGTTTTCAGTTTTTAAAGTGAAACTCTTTAATATATGTATATCATCTAAATAATTGTTAAGTATTGTTATCTAGTACTCTAAGACACAGAATTCAATAAAAATATTAGTTGGAGACCTAGTCTACTTTTATCATTTCCCAATATCATTCCTATTTTCTAAGCATAAAATTAAGATTGATGGGAAGGCATCTCCATATCAACTTTTTTTAAAAAGTGGATGTGGTCCCGCTCCCTAATACGTCTAATGTGCATATCTCCTATACCACTGAAGCTATAATAACAAAATTCACTGGGAACAAATGTTTTAAGCACCTCTATCGACAGTGTGAAGATGGGTGAAATCGGGTGAAAACTCCGTCCACTCCCCATATAATGGTACTGTTAAAAACTACTAAAAGTGCAATAAATCAAACACTAAGCACCGGTGACACCGCCCACTTTTAAGTGAAAACCCATATTTTGGGATCTGCTAAATCGATTTCAACAAAATTCGGTACATTACATTCTTTTCATATTTCTATGTCATTGTGCGAAAATGGGCGAAATCGGATTACAACCGCACCTATTTCCCATATAACACCATTTTAAATTCC